GAGGGTAAGAGAAAGGTGGGATAGAAAGGGGGAACCAATCACATATAACCCCCTCCCTGGGGGACAGACAACAGAAAAGTGGGTGAAGGGAGACATCGGACAGTGTAAGATATGACAGTAATTTCTAAATTATCAAGGGTTCATGAGGGAGGAAAGGTGAGGGGAGGAGGGGAAAATGAGGAACTGATACCAAGGGCTCAAGTAGAAAGCAAATGTTTTGAGAATGATGATGGCAACAAATGTACCAATGTGCTTGACCCAATGTATGTATGGATTGCGATAAGAGTTGTGTGAACCCCCAATAAAATGATTTTTTTTTTAAGAATGGATTAAAAAAACACAAACAAAAAAACGGATACGATATATGTGGTGAAATATTATGCACCCCTCCCAAACAGTGATGAAACCATGAAACCGCTCGTGACACGGAGGGATCTGGAAACTACTGTGCTGAGTGAAGTGAGGCAATCCCAGAGGACGAGGACTGTGGACGGTCACTGGTGTTGGAGTGAGCACCAGGACGGGAGCCGGCGCTGGCTTTCAGGCCATCCAGTCTGCTGGCCAGGGCAGCCAGGCAGCTTGGCAGACTGCCTGACTGGTGCCCATGAACTGTGCACTGTCCTGTGTGGGTTCCTGGAAGGCCGCTTTGGTTCAGGAGTCCTCCCTGGGAGGGTGCGCTGGGATCAGGTTTCCCAGAGAGGGGGAGGAAAGGAGGGCTTAGTGCAGTGGTTCTCAATCTTCCTAATGCTGCAGTCCTTTAATCCAGTTCCTCATGTTGTGGCTACCCCCAACATAAAATTATTTTTGTTGCTACTTCAGAACTGTAATTCTGCTACTGTTATGAATCATCCTGTAAATATCTGATATGCAGGATATATTTTCATTGTTACAAATTGAACATAATTAAAGCATACTGATTAATCACAAAGATAATATGTAATTATATATTGTGAAATATTTATTTCTAATGACGAATAAATGAAATTTTGCCTTGAAGGATGCTGTAGCATGGGTAACAGTCTTCCCGCGGGGTACTCATATGTGGGCGTATCTGCATGTGGGCAGACCCACCTGGATACGGATAGAGGAGCGGTGTCTCGGTTCCTAAGACCATCGGAAATATGGGTTTTCTGATGATCTGAGGCAACCCCTGTGAAAGGGTCATTCGACCCCCAAAGGGGTTGTGACCCACTGCTAGCTTAGTAGTTGCCAGGCAAAAGTGTGATGACGTCCCCCAGGACCAGCCGACATGAGGGATACTATTGGGAAAATCAAGTCAGGCGCAGGGATGGGAGCAGACCCGTCTTGGAGAAGACAAGTGCATGTCTGCTGGTAGAAAGCAGGGGAAACCCAACTTCCTAGTGGGGGTGGGAAATGACTAATAATACTGTTAAGAACCCTAAGAGGGGAGTATGCCTGGTACTGTCCTCCTAATAAGCAACATTGGGACGACTTTCTGTACACTTCCTGGGGGCCACGTGCCATAGAACATGGGACATTGAAACCTGGATCTTGAAGGTGCACAACTTGCTCCAAAGGTCCTATCAGAGGGGTGTGACGTCGAAACCCCACTAGGTGAACTAGGTTCTACCTAAAACATGCCTGTAACCTGAGGATTTAAGACTGAAATTATATGCTGTGTGAAGAAGCAGACAGCTCTACTAAGATTATCCGTCTGTTGGTGGGTGGACTAACATCAACTGACTACTGCAAGCCCCACTGCCTTTCTTAATATAGGTCTTATTTCTGGCAGACTCGTGTCTGACACTGTCAGAGAATATTAGTAAAAGGTTTGCCTGACCACCAACTCCCATTGTTTGTGTAAACAGTGTTCAGTCATGTGAGGATTTCTTCTGCACAAGTCAATAATCCATGCATTGTGATTTGTAGTCAGCCTATACTTGTTCAATCTCCCTTTCTCAATAGTGTTTTAAAATTATCACCATGGGCTAATCAAAGATACTATGAACAGAAGGTCTTTATACTCCAGGGAGATAATCAATAAAATTCTCTACCATAAAATAACAAGAATGCCCCTAAAATGAAGCAGAGGCAAATAAGAAACATAGATTCAGGAATGGATACTGCGTTTGAACTTAATCCTAGCTCTAATCTAAGAACAATTAGTTCTTACAACATGAGCCTACTCAACATTCTCCCTCATGAAGAAAACACAGACGATATGGATGCTATAGCAAAGGGTGGGGAAGAAACTAAATGGTGCCTGGCTCTCAGAAAGAATAGCATCTGGGGTGTTAAAGGCTTGTTTTAAAACAAGCTGTCATTGAAGTGAGACATAGACTAAGCCCACATGGAAGAAACACATCAACATCTGTGATTCAAGGATTGTAAGTTACATAGTCCAAGTCTGACAGAGGGAAGAGGATCCGAGTTTAAATTGTGAGATTCTGGAAGACCAAAATACATTTGCAGGAGCTACACCGAGAATACGCCTCTGGTGACTTCTCTTTGAGCATAACTGAGGGATGGGGATAACCTGGTTTTCACAGAGTATTGGAGAGATGATGGTAATAGATTTAAATGATAAATCTAACTTGAATGGTTAAAACCTTGTCATTTTATTTCCCTCTTTGTATACTTTGTGCAGGTTTTTAATATTTTACGTGGGTTTTTTTCATATTGGGGTTTATCTCTGTTGTATTTTGTCATCGTTGGTCGCCTTCTTGGGTACAGCAGGAGAGGTGTGTGTTGGGGGTAGCAGTGGGGCAGAAGGAGCGGCTATAAGGAGTACAGGCAGGAAGAAAATGATTTAAAACTGATTGTGGTAGTGATTGTACAATACTGTGTGATATAATTGAACTAGGAAATGTTTGGATCCAGTCCCAATAAAATGGTTTGAAAGAAAAAGAAATTAATTAAAATGTTTAAAAAAGAGATAATTCAGTCTAGCAAACCGTATGATGTAGTTCTAAATGGTTCATTATCTGAACCAATTAAATGGAACACAAAAAATATATAAGTTAAGCTCCTGAAGCATAATAAATAATTTTTTATTAAAGGAAGTTCTGATTGAGACAAAAAAGGAAGGAATTTGGGGTGAAATGTGATTAATTATAAGACAGTCTTTAATGTCTTTAGAAATTGCTTCTATTATTGATATAATTTTCTCATTCAGGGTCAGAGTATAATTCAAAAATTTAAAAAGTGAGAAAATAAGTTAAATACGAAACAAATAAATACTTAATTTTGGCCTAACTCAAGGAGAAGTAATATAATGGGAAGTTTTTCATTAGAAAGTTAATTTAAGCAAGGCTATGATAACAAGATATTGATGGTGTTTCATATTATATAGATCATCTGTTTAAAAAAGCAGAGGTAAAAATGGCATCCAGTTTTTGAGAGAAACTTTCCAATTCAAATAAGGAATAGAAGAAGGATTAAAAATATACAATAGCCACAATGTAATATTGAATGGTGGATGAATAATAGCAATTTAGAAAGTAATAAAAGGTGAGGTAGTGATTTGAAAATCACTAGGCACCAAATATACTTATTAATCAAGGAAAATCAATAAAAAGTTAAATTGTTATTGTTTCATAGACATTCACTTTATTCTACATAATAAAGCAAATGACAAGCAATTTCAAACAACTGAAAATGTGTACCTTAAAAAATATCTTGCTTGAAAAAGCAATTAGGGAAAGGTTACAATCTCAAAACGAGAGAAACTTAAAGTGCTCTGAGAAGGGACCTGAAAATACTTGTTTTTTAACAGTTGGTAGCAATTAGAACTTGGAAAAGTTATTTATTGAATTGTATTTCCTTAGTGTGACCACTGGGTTTGGTATTATACCTATTTCAAATGACTTTGTGAGGATAAATTTGGATGATAGATGCGAAGTATTTCGTCAATATTTGATGTATCAAGCGTCAACAAATGTTAATCATTATTATTATCATTACTAAGGCTTCTATTTTAAAAGTAAAGTTTTGTAAACTATATATATATATATATGATTAGTTTTCATATATATATATGACTCATCAATGAAAACTCCTTGGATCACAACAGACTACTGCCCAATATAGTCCTGGAAGTTGGGCCCCTCCAGTTGGAAGGTCATACAGTAGCCACCATGGCTGCACCAATGGGCTCACGCACAGGAACAAGTGGGAGGATGGCACAGGCCGGGGCCAGGTTTTGCTCTGTTGCACAGAGGGGCACTATGTGTCAGAGCTGACTCTGTGGCAGCCAACAGCAACCACCCAATCGTCACAATAAGGGCCTCAAGTACATCCCAGAGCTGAGAGGTGTGAACCAAGCGTTGCCTTCTGTGGCATAGGGGGTCATTATGAACCAAAGCTGATCTGAAAGCAACTAATCACAAGCTTGCAATGAAATATAACGTGTGTGCTACATATCATGAATGATGACTTGGCTGGACCCAATAACGAGCTGGCTTTGCTCCATAGCGTCTTCTTAACTCTTCCCCATCTGCTTGGACACATTTCAGACTTTTACTCACATTGATGCATTATTTATCAAATTTTAAACACTAGGCACAAACTGAATATTGTTTTATATTTTCTCTTTCATTATTTCATGTTTCAATCAGGAATAATATTTGACATTTTTAGTGGACACGTCCAATTTGGATGGTAGCAGGCTAACATGCATTCCATTCAATCAATACTCCTATAATCCTGCATAATCTGGGCATATCCAAATATCCAAGGAAAGGAGCCAGGGGTAAGAAGAGTTTTCAGGAGAGATTTGGGAGAGCCCAAGGCTCTGTTTTAGAGATCATGACTTGGCCTGGCAGAGTGTCATCATCCAGAACAGAGGCGAGTGCGACAGAAACAACCCTCTCCGGACCAATGACCCATTCCCAGGCCCTTCAAATGTATGCCGATTTCAGTATCTGCAAGTGCAGACCTATACGTCGTCCTTGGACGATAGATCCAACATGTAGGATCTCTTCAGGATTAAACTCAGAGCACACACCTGTTTCTTTTGAGATGGTTTCGGGTTCACTTACCCACTTGATTGTTTCCCTGAGCAGGCCGGAATTTCGCACTGAAACAGAGTTTGAGGATGACATCAGCATTCTTGTTGAACAAAGTGATTGTTTCTGGTGTGAAAAAAGCTTCCACGGATACATCCGCAATGCTGTGGGACCTGGCGGGCATAATCGGAAATGGAAAGATGGTCTTTGTAGCTGAACTACACACACTATCCCTTACATCAAGGTCCCAGTGTCAGAATTCGCAGATGGTTCTCTCCAAGCTCTATCAAAGCACGTTAGCAGCATTTTGTATTTGACAGCGCGGAGGTTGCAGGGATTGTGTCCCCTTTGAGCCCTAGCAGGGCTATCCGGTAAGTGTTGGATTGCTAATCCAAGATCAGCAAGCCCCCCAGTCGCTCCTTAGAAGAAAGAAGACTGTCTGCTCCTGTAAGATGTAGAGCCTCGGAAACTACAGAGGGTAGCAACTAGTAAGAGTTGCCTTGATGGCAGTTGGAGTTTCAGTTGGGTACCACCAGTAAAATTCACATTTAATATTTTTTTTCTCAAATGAGCAAATCAATGCATTAGCACAAAGAGGTCTTCAAATAATTTGGAAGGGAGGTAGAAAAATCATGATACCTGGTGAGTTGACTAGCTGGAAGAAATTATATTTACTCTTTATCATAAAAGCAAGAGAGAGAGAGAGAAGGTGAGAAGGTAGAGGTGATGGTAATGGTGGTGAGGGGGGTGTGTGCCTCGCTTTGTCCTGTTGTCACAGAAGCTGGGTAGGGGCGGAGTCAAACCTGTCAATCAAGTTGCAGCGTGATGACACCGCCTTCATGTCATAAACCTTTTGTGTAAGAGCAAGGGACTCAGAGCTCTGATCTCTCTGTGCAACGCCACCTTCCTGCCTACGGGAGCTACCTGCCTTGAGGGGTGGCTAAATGTGGGTCACTCGACCCCCAGAGCTGCCGGCATCCTACCATGTTCTCATGGACCTTGGATCCACGCAACCTTGCAGCACCGACCTGTGGTCTTCCTGCTTCTTGGTCCACGTCTCTACATCACCAGCACGTGGCTATGTGAATCTGAGGAGCAACTTGTGAACCAGCATCAGACTTACGGACATGAGTTGGACGAAACTGGGATGCCTTCATGATACATAGTGCGCTTCTTTCTATAAAGTGTCACTGGATTTGTTTCTCTAGACAACCTGGCCTAACGCAGAGGTAGAATAAATATCTTCATTTTATAAATGAAACAGCAGAGGTACAAACCCATCTGGTGGCTTGACAGTTTGCTATTTTTTAGTAAGAGACAGTAAGCAATTAGACCCCATGGTCTCCTAAGTCCTTATTCAGTGGAATTTGTACTTTATTATAATCACTCCAAGTACACACCCTCAACTCTACAGAATAGCAGCTAAATGTTCTGTCAACTAAAAAATTTATTATTTGAAAATAATTCTCAGGGAATTTTCCAGATCCACTAGCCTTAGGGTGACAGTCACACCATGGCCTCCCCTAGTGTGGCTGTCATCGCAGGAAATTGGTTTGCTGCCATGTATCTTTTGACTGATTGAGGAAGCAAAGTCCCCATCAAAGAAGAAAGGTTAGTCTACCACTGATTTTATTGATACTGACCAGGAAAGAGAGTTTCTTGTACAAAAGTTTCATAAGAGTCATATTATACTACATTATCAGATAGACTCAATGTGCTGATTTTGGCTGAGCCCATTAGCAAATTTATTTTCTTATTTTTCAAAATCTTAAATATTACCCTGGGATTTTCTTTTTCTCCACATTCTGCAATGAACAAGGCACTTTTATCCTTCAAAAACATAAGTGAGATATTGCTAATAATGCCATTAAGTTCATAAGTAACATTACCACGATGTGGAATGTTTCTGTCTTTGCTGACATGACATTTAAATACATTTTTAACAGACAAGCGAATAACTAGTAGAGCTGTATTTTCTTGGAGACATTTGGGTTAAATCTTGACTTCTTCCTGATTCCATTCTCTCATCAGCAGTATATATTTTTGAAACCTGAATCAATGGTTCTTTAATCTTTTATTATTCCCCCTACTCTTCAGCTCCTGCTGAGGTCAGTAAAAGGTCATGTTAGCCTACACAATGACTTCCTGTTCTCAAGGGTACTGTCTACAACCCTTGGGGGATAGATTTCCTTTCAGTTTCACGTGGGGTTGCCAGAGTAGGGAAATGAGTCAGTGACCTACAACAACTACCACTTAAGAAGCTACAATACCGTGTGTGGTCTGAGGGTTCTTACGAAACTTCCTTACAGTGTGCTGAGGTAAGGCGATTTGGAAGATGACATTCAGAAATACACTAGATAGCATGTCAAGGGTTTTGGTGTTCTGAGAAGAGAAACATGCTTCTACTGCTAAGCAAAAATTTTTTTTTCTCACACGAGGAAAGATCTTCCTTCCTTCATGCAAACTATGACACATATATGCCCCAGAATACCAAAGCTCAACTCAAACTCACCACCATCCATTGATTCCATCTCACAGGGACCCTACAGGACATGGTACACCTCCCTCTGTGGGTTTCTGAGACTTAGGGGAGCGGATGGCCTCCTCCTTCTCCTGAGTAGCTGGTGGTTCTGAACTTCTCACTTTGGGGTTAGCAGTAACCCACTACATCACCTGGGCTCCTATATATGCCCCAGAGTCTTATATAATTCATGTGGCATTGCGTGGCAGCTACGACAATCTGTTTCACATTTCAGTAGGCGGGGCTTCATCTCAGACTGTCGCAGACTCACCAGAGTTGGACCACTTGCCCAAAGGCACCAATGGACACGTCAGTGATGGAATCCCCATTTAAATCTCCATAGCCATCCAAGGATCTCCCGAAGTACTGGAGACGGGTCCTGAAGGCTTTATCAGATCCCAAGATTTTCTAAAAGAGCAAATTTGACAGGAAATTACAGTGTGCACCAGCTGGACCAAATTTTTGTTCTTATGATGCCTGATCCCTGATCCCTTCGACACCTCATGACCACATAGTTTGGTGTGCTTCTTCCATGTGGGCTTTGTTGCTTCTGAGCTACATGGCCGCTTTTTTACCTTCAAGCCTTTAAGACCCCAATCTAGTTCACTTTCTTCAGGTCTTTACTCAAAATCATCACAGCAAGACCTTATTTCGTCACCCTTCCAACCACCAGGTACAGTTCACCAAGGATCATTTATTTCCTGCTTTAGTTCTTTGTCGTCAGCTTTTATTACTATTTGTAATATGAGAGCATCTCTGGTTTTACATCTCTCCTCTACTAGTATGTAAAGCCCATGAAGGACAGAATTTGGTTTGTCTCATTCTTGACAGCATCATCAGAGTGTAGAACAGCACCTGGCACATAATAAAGGCTCACTTAATACTTGCTGATTGAATGAACTTATCAACTAAGAGAAATGCACTCCCTATGGTTTGACTGATACATACTCCAGCTCTACTATGATGATATACACATGTCAGTACATTACCGTGACGTTACCATGGGTTACCTGAGAATACTTCATGCGAATGGTGTTCTGATGGCCATTGTAGATATACACAGCTCCGGAGTTCTGATTCTCTAAAGGTGAACCAACTATGACGTCATTAAAGCCATCCATGTTGATGTCTGAAAGAACTGCAATGGCTGAGCCAAACCGAGCATTTTCTAAACCCTCAGGCCCTTCAAGAAGTTGGTGATGATTCAAAACGCCCTTTCAGAAGGGGGGAAAAAGAGATTAAAGCAATCCTTACAACTTGTGTAATTAAAATGCACAGTAAAGGAGGCCCTAACCAATTTGCAAGATGTTTAAAGTAGGTAGGGTTTTAAAGTTTAAATACAAAATTTGCAATTTATGATGGTAATTATAAATGCAAATTTGAGTGAGGTTGCAGATAACTGCTTGTAAAGCAAAGTGAAATGTTTACTGTAGCTGCACAATCTATATAAAAATAACCATCACTTTGACTCCTTCCCCCTCATTATTAGTACTTCGTCTGTTTCTAAATATTTTGATTTAAACCTTTTTTATCTCGTATAAAGCCACAAATACCATAAATAAAACTAAAACAGAATCAAAACAAAATGCAATATCTTCATTTATATATTATCAGTGATGGAACAGTGACATAATTTTTATAATTAAAACCCAAATACTAATTTCCTCATTATCAAATCAATTCTGATTTTTAATGATCCTATAGGACAGCATAGGATTACCCCAGACTTTCCAAAGCTTTCATTATTAAAAAAAAATCATTGCATTTAGGACTCTTACAGCTCTTCTAATAATTCATACATCAATCAGTTGTATCAAGCACATTTGTACATATGTGGCCATCATCAGTTTCAAAACATTTTCTTTCTACTTGAGCCCTTGGTATCAGCTCCTCTTTTTACCTCCCACCCCCTTTGTGACTACATCTTTTCCTGCAGAGTAGCTTGGAGTTTGAAACTGCAGATCATTCAGTGAAAAGCCAAGTCTTTTCATCACTGCACCAAGTGAGGTCATTAATAGCCTATTCATTTTAAGAAGCACTACATACGTCTGTCCGCCCACAGGAAAATACATGTCCTTGGAAAAGACACTTTTCCGTCATAGTTTGGAACCAAATATGGAACTGTCTCCTGATTTCATCAGAACACAATGCTCCTCTACCATGGAGCTGGGATAATGTTTATCTTATTTCCTCTGTTAGGATCTTCTAGAGACTCATTTTCCTGAGTTTTGACGAAGTATTAGGATATCTTTTGATGTTCAACAATTAATGAAAACTCAAAATATCTGACAAGCCATCAATGTTTAAGAAACTGGGGCTTGGTGAAACTTTGAAACAAGTGGGTATATATGCTTCCCTTATCAAATAATTTTTTCCCAAAAACATTTTCTTGGGTGCTAATGCAGATATCATATCATTCCATAGTTCTATCACATCAAGCGGTATTGCACAATTGCTACCCCAATCAGTTTCAAACCGTTCCCTTCCTTCTTGAACTCCTTGATATTAGCTCCCCTTTATGTACCCCCTGGCCACTGTGTCCCCAGAAACCCCTATTCTACTAGCTATGGATGACAGTGGAAGCCCAAGATACAGTTGTGAGAGGCACACAGGACACAAGCCTCCAGGGATTTCCCTCGATCCACAATGAACGGATGGGAATAAACTAATTACCCAACAGTGCGTTGGAGAGATGACCATAGGAGATCAAAATGATAAACCTGACTTGAATGGTTGAGACCTTGTCAGTCGATCCCCGCTCTGATGCACATTGTGCCGCCGGCTCAGGTGTTCAACATTTCTGTGTTTGTTTGTTTGTTTCCTATTGGGGGTTTGTTTGTTTGTTTGTTTCCTATTGGGGGTTTGTTTGTTTGTTTGTTTGTTTCCTATTGGGGGTTGTCTCTGTTGTATTTTGTCGTTGGGGGCAGCCCTCTTGAATTTTTGTCATTAAATATCTTTATACATTCTTTCAGTACCTTGGAATTGTTTTAACGATTTCTGTTCAAGGGTTGAGTTTTACATTAATTTTAATCCATCAGGTAGGGCACCATATCACATCAAGCTAAGCATAATCTCTATTATATCAATGCTAACTTCTTTCTCTTTTTTTCAACCTTTCCTTTCCATAACCATTTAATGTTTTATATCAACTGGCACTTTTAATGCTGTTTTTCTTCTCTGGTTTCATTGAGAGCACCATGCTCATATATGTATGTATATGGAGAATTCAGCCTCAAGTTGAAAAACTGCTTTTCCATGTTATAGTATGTTGGTTTTTTAAGTGTAAGAACTGGAAATTTCAAGATCTGGACATCTAGCTAAACATTACACCAAGCAATGGAATATCCTGACACACTAATGTAGAAAGCATCTGGGATTAAATGAATATTTCCAAAGACCAATATGAGAGAGTTTGATCTGATTCTTGTTATATCTTTATAACAAAGAAGAAAATTTGCATGAAATAACCTGGACATGAACACATCTGTGTATTTGTGTATTTCAAAAAAAGTGGTGCTGTAGACAAGGACTTTATCTGTGTAAAGGAATCTTGGGGGAACCGTGGGATAAGTGTCAGGCTGTGACCTGAAAGGTTCTCTCTTCTCTCTCTCTCTCTCTCTCTCTCTCTTTTCTCTCACTGCCATTGAGGCAATGCTGACTCATAGCGACCCCCTGTGGGTTTACAACTGCTTACAGAAGTAGAAAGCCCAGTCTTTCTCCTGCAGAGCTGGTGGTGGTTTTGACCTGTCCCCAAAGGTAGACAGTTGAAACCCAGCAGCTATTCTGTGGTAGAAAGATGAGGCTGGCTGGCGCCCTCAGAAGTGAGTCTCAGAAACCCTAGGAAGGTTCCTATGAGCTGGAATTGATTCAGTGGCAGTAGGTTTTTGGGTTTTATTTGTGTAATGATGTGTATTGAAAAATACCACATGGAAAATATGGTGACATCTTTGCTAAGTTGAAATTTCACAGATTATATTAAAAAGCATAAATATGAGGGCCCCCCCCCAACAGAAAAAAGCCCCATTGGGCAGAGTTTCATAGTACTTATTTTTCCCACTAAGCGAGTCATCGAGCAACTCACTCTGAGTCAGTGCACCCAGGGGTGTTGCCTGAGACGGTTCTCTCTGGACACACTGAATTTTTTCATCAAATCAGTTTTGCTTGAGCCTCGTTTTGGTGATGGCTGATTTCAGAGAACAACGTGTAGCTGTGAAATTTTGCTTCCTGCTCAGGAACAATGCCACTGAGTGGTGGTGTTGACCAGAGCTCACAGGACAGCACTGTGAAAAAAACTCAAGTATACAAGTGGTTTTCTCAGTTCAAAAGGGTGAAGTGTCGATTGATGATAAAGCTTGTTCTGGACGTCCGTCAAATTCCCAAATGGATGAAAATGTCAACAAACTGTGTCCACTTGTGCTTGAAGACAGATGATGGACCATTGAAGAGATGGGGGTGTTTCCTGGACTGGGTTGGAGCTTGGTTCAGCGAATTTTAACGGAAGATTTGGGAATGAGAAGGGTCACTGTGAAATTTGTGCCTTGTTCTGACTGACCAGGAAAAAGAGTGTCAAGTAGAAACAGTCCATGCTTTGAAAGAACCGCTCCAAAGCAACCCAGACTTTCTTCCCACGGCCATTACGAGTAAGGGGACATGGTGCTACTATTCTTACAGCGCCGAAAGCAAACATCAATCAAGCCAGTGGAAGATGCCATCTTCACCAGGCCCCATAAAAAGCTCATCAAGTGAAATCAAAGATCAAGATGATGCTCTTTTTTTTTTTTCTGATGTGAGGGTGATAGTGCATTTGGAGGTGCTGTCAGCCATCCAAACAGATGAGTTTGAAAAATGTTTCCAAGACTGGGATTGCAGATTTGACCAATGCATTAAATGTAATGGAGAGTACTTTGAAGGTGCTAAGGTTGTTTTGTTTAAAAAAAGTAAACACATAGCTTTGAAAAATAATTCTTTTTTTTTTTTTGGTGCGGGAGAATTGAATGTGTACGGTATTCATAGCAAAGTCAGCAGTTCAAAACCACCAGGTGCCCCATAGGAGAATGACAAAGCTTTCTATTCCCATAAAGAGTTAGTCTCCAAGACCCTCGGGGGCAGTTCTTCTCCGTCCTAGAAAGTCACCAGGGGTCCTAACCGACTCGATGGCAGTGAATTTCATTTGGTTTTGGGTTGGTGACCTCTTCAGATCCGAGGAAAGGTTAAGCCATATTACATATGCAAAGTACTAAACTTTCTCTTCCAAATTCAGATTCACCTTTATTTACCAGTACTGGAGTAAGTTAAACTAAGTTTATTTAATAATTTTATTTTTTTTACCTTTGTGATAGTAAATAGGTAGACTCTTCCTTCTTCTTTCTTGAGGTCATTCATGTACATTGGTGCACCTACTAAGAGTACGTCTGTAATGGTGTCTCTGTCCACATCAACCGAGCAAAGCACACTCCCAAAATAGGAGCCAATCTGGAATGAAAAAAACACCCAGAAACAATCAACCGCAGGATTCCTAGGATATGTATGTGCCCACTATGCCCTGGATATTTTATTCATTCAACTAGCAAAACACTGAGTGCTTACCACTAGCATGTTTCTACAGATAGATAACCTAGTTCCTTACCTCGGATTGTGTTATTATCTAACACCTGGTTCCTAAAATTTTGTACCCACAAAGTCACCAACAAAATGCATTTAAAATACAGTTCCTGAGACTGGTTTACAGAGCTCATCGTGCAATATCTAGGATGCTCTTTAGACAGCATCATTTTCCATAAACACCCCAAGTGCTTCTGCTGTGTGGTTGGTCCAACAAGCATAGTAGGTCCACGAGGGTCAGGGAGCAGAACAGACCACTATGTTTCCACAGTAAAATAGATGATAATAATAACTGGGTTAGGTAAATATGAGAGTTTGGAAATTTGAATGTACATCCCATTGAGTAAGTGCTCCGTGCAAGCCTAACATGTGAGTACCTTTTCAGGATCCAGAAACATATTAAAAAATAATTCCTCCATAAAAGTTTCATGGAGTTCCTGAAAATAACAAAACACATCTTTAAAATATTAATGAAGAGATAAACATAGGTGACCATAGCCAGATTGTGGTCAAGGAAATCAGGTCCTCTGATCTTATTCCTGGAAGTCATAGAGAGTCACAGAGAAGCACAAGGAGGGACACTGTGGTTTCTCCGACTCAAGGAAGGAAACCAATCTCCATCTGTTTTTCGGGGGTCTGTGGTGTCCATTTTAAATAAGTTACGCTTCCATAGGTCACAGTGGCTTAGCACAGAAGCCGGAATCTATCAGCTGACTTTGGTGCTAGCAACAGTTCTTTGTGCAAGGTGGCAGGGACAGAACTGGGAGTTATCATGGATTCTGCCATTCAAGCTATCAGATATCAGTAGACAGTGATAGTTACTTGCTTTTAAAAAGATCAGAGTCAACAGGACGCATTGGCAGGTGGAGATGTGGTGGTTATTAGTTGCCATTGCTTCAGCTCACGGGAATTTCATAACAGAACAAAACATTCCCCAATCTACACCACCTCCATGCTTATTGGGATATTTTAGATCGCTGCTGAGACTATTATATGAACCCATTGAATCGTGGGTTTTCCTCACCTGCATGGACTCTCCACTTTACCAAACATAACGGCCCTTCCTGATGATGTGTCCAACATAACCAAGTTAAAGTCTCATCGTCGTAACATCTAAGAATATCATAAATGAGAATAATGCTATACTTCTTTTTCACTTTCCTTATTTCTCCTTCAGGTGCCCGAATCCCTAGTGTGAGTTGCATACAAAGCAGTGGTTAGGTTCCTGCCATTATGACTAAAGCAGCCAATGTTCATTTAGTCATTGGTGTGGAGTGGAGTGTCCCGAAGCAGCAGAGGCTCTAAGGTCAAGTAGGAGTGGGCGGTCATGTCACTTCAACCCCATGAATGTGTGTAGCTCCTGTCAAAAGGGGAGTGCAGATCTCTCGGGATCCCAGTGAAGATTCTGGAAGTAGGCAAGTCAATTCAGATTATGAGACCCGCCACAGGGCCGGCACTCAATACATGTCAGTTTTCATTTCTACTTCCCCTCCCCGCTTCATCCACCTCAGTTGACTATGATATCAGTTTTGCCCGCTGAACAGTGGGGTTTACCTGGTCTCCTCTGTGAGGCTGAACAACGGTGACGTTGCCACTCTTGTTCACACGGTAGAGCACTATCTGACCAGTATAATTGGCCCGAGGCGCACCGGCAACGAAGTGGAGGTTTTTTCCGGTAGAAATCACAGCCACAGAGTAACCTACGAGGGAAAGGGTCACCAAGCCAGCACTGCTGCGCATCTCAGTCAGGAAAGCTTGTAAAGCGGAGAGCAGGGAATCGAGGTCCTGTTCTCTTAGGTGGGATGCACAGTGTCTACGGGGCCTAAATAAACCAGTGAGTCCATTAAGCTGCTCTTTTTCCCTGACCTCACTGCTACCTATAAAGCAGACACTAAAATTAGGGTTGTCGCCATCAGACCATTGGTGCACGGAAACTCTCGTGTACTTGACTCACAGCTAGCACTCACCAAGTATTTCTTGAATGAATGAATAAACTGGCATAAAAGGTACTGGCCGGTGGAGAGGACACAACATTGGGGGCAAACAGTCCCAGGTTCACATTCTTTCTCTGTCTCCCACGAGGCTCTTTGACTTTGGACAAATTATTTAACGTGGTCCTAAAATGCAAAATGCGGCTAATCAGACGCCCTTCGGTGGTCATTGGAAATATTACATGTTTATGTAATTGTAGCTAGAAGAGCCAGTTGAGGAGCCATCCCATCGCAGGGATTCAGTCAGTGTCTGCTAGTATTATTGGAATAAAAGACCAAGCATTCGAAAATAGTGTAAGACTACCTCTTCCTGCATTGGCTGTTACAAATGCTTTCCATTTTTAAGGACGCCCAGTCACGTCCTCAGGAACGAGAAGCATTTGCGCAGTCAGTAGAGATGAGGGCGCCTGATGAATGTTTCATAAGTAGCTATGCGCTCAGGCCTGGCGATCATAGAGGTAACACAACTATGTGTAATAAATAACAAGAATCAGACGGCAAGTCAAAGGCTTTGCTGAATAGACAGAATCGAGACAAAGCTAGCTTAAAAGAAGAAGACATAACTCAGCTGTCCATGGATTTTTTTTTTAAGGCAGACAAAAAAAAAATGAATTCTACAAAATTTTTATGACTTTTTAAGCTGGGTCAAATGCTTCTGTATCTTACCTAAATATGAACTGTGGTTTCTATCCTGCAGAATCTGCTCAAATGCTTGCTTGGGAAAGATGGAAGTTCTGTGAGACATCTGCTGGACAATGGTTCCACTCCAGTCATAAGCTCCCACTGCACCCAGCATCAGAACATCCTGGAACGAGTGAGAAGTGAGGATCCTTCATTTCTCAAAGGCAAGAAAGCAGGAGAGGCAAAATATTTAAATCGATTCCCTAGATTCGGTAAAGACAACTAAGTATAATATGTATGGATTGCATATTATATATCAGAATTACTTTAATATAGTTTATATTATCTATGTTGTAAATATGTCAATGTAAATAAAAATATTTAACTAGATTTATGCTCAAGAACAAGCCTTCCACTGAGCAGTATCACCAGGACACACACTTGCCAAGACTGAGCCCTTATGAACCTTTAGGTTGGGGCTCAAAGTGAGCCTGGGATCTCAGAAAGGCTTGCAGCTGGACAGACAGAGATGCCTGTGGGGAACAGGAAGTGCGGATGCTCCAGGTGGAGAGAGAAATTTGCTGCTACACTAGGAAGGTCCTGAGAGGCCTTCTTCTGACCTATCGACTTTCAACTTCGTTCTTTCTTCCTGCCTACTCCTCAAATGTCTCCTTACCATCTGTAGCCCATCTGATCTGCTTGGCAATAGCCACAGCTACAAAAAGTAGCTCTGGTTATGACATTCAATCAATTGAAAGGAAAATAAACCATCATCATCTCTGAGTACAGATGGGAAAAGAAAGGCAGATTGCTCTGGATTGGCTCAAAACCCAATGTGAACATTTATTTTTAAGCTTGTTATGTCCGATTTTGATCACAGAAAAACATTTAAGGTATGATTTTGGATCACAAATACAAGCTACTTCGAAAATAAGCAAGCAAATAAATGAGAAAAAAGGGATTTGTGTGCACTATTTTGAGGATGAGACTAAAACAACCATTCCAAAGACTATCCTAAGATCAAAATTCTGAATCGGGGGTGCATGAACAGACTTCAAGGGATGTCTAAAAACCTCATGAAATTGTCTGCAGAACTCTTGGGGTGGCATGAAGTCTTAATACGACTCTTTTACCCATGTCTCTATAACTCCCACCACCTTATAGCTATCTTTGAAGCAGTGGGAGAGAAATCCCAGAACCATTGGATGAAAAGCAGGTTTGAGATCTCTGTCAAAAGTGGTGGAAGCCAAGACCAGATGCACCAGAGGCAGAGGCAAGGGGATCAAACAGAGAAGCAGTGAGGCAAAGCAGCGGGCTGGCTTCCTGGCTCATGAAGGCCAAGGCGAATGGATCACAGGGTTGAGAGGCAGAGAGCTAGAGAGAGACTTGGCTGCTGGCTGAGGAGAGATGCGTGTAGACCAATGACTATAAACCTACTATTGACTGATACTGCTTTGTGGCAATCTATTAGATTTCCTACTGAGCCCCCTAATGGTGAGCCTTGCCTTTGAGTTCTATGTAGCCATGGCAATGAATGATTGATCCCAGAATAGATGTAGCATGGCAGGAAGTCACTACTGATGTCAAAATAGAATAAAGAAGGATGTAGGGTAGAGATATGCCTGACCCTTGTGCCTCACAGCCAGGGGGAAACCAGAGGAGGTCAGCTATGACTACGAAATTATCTGTGGGTGAGTATAATAACTTTATTACTTCTATTTTTATTTTTTAAGGGAAAGACTCATAACTTTATGATCAGCTTTGTCTGATAGTCTAGGAAAGCTAGCCTCTTTTATTCTAGAGACAAAATGAACTGTTCTTGGCTCTTCCATCTGACAATTAAATCCCCTGAGTTCATTATATCCCCTAAATATTTCCCATTGCCACATCTCTTTATTTCTTTCTCTACCTCAATCATAACCTGACTATAATTAGAATTAGATGCCTGGAAGACGATGCTTCTGAGAAAGGAATACGGACTTACTTTGTCCCCTCTCACATTTCCAACCAATTTTTTAAGCCCCTTTGTGTCTCTGTACATAGAATTCAATAACAACCACAAGGACTTGTGTTCCTGATGAACATTGTCAATAATTAATTGATTCAAAGGAAATCCCTGCTATCATCACACCTTAGATCAGCGGTTCCCAACCTGTGGGTCGCCACCCCTTTGGGGGCCGAATGACCTTTTCACAGCGGTTGCCCAATTCATAACAGTAGCAAAATTACAGTTATGAAGTAGCAACAAAATAATTTTATGGTTGGGGGTGACCAAAGCATGAGGAACTATATTAAAGGGTCGCGGCCTTAGGAAGGTTGAGAACAACTGCCTTAGATTAATAGAACGCACTGAAGCACTCAAAGCTTTCTTTAGATAATCCCAATCCCCCTCCCCATATAAAATCCTTGCAAAAGAAGGGGAGGGAAGGCATGTATTAACCTTCATAATTTAAGTGATAACTCAGCAGCGCTGAGAAATTAAACAAGCAAGACCAGGCATCAGAACTGCTGACCACGAAGTGGCAGTTTCCCCCCTCTGATGTCTAAACTACTGTCCTTAAGGCGTATGCCAAGTGCCACGCTGCTTGAGGTCGTCTGCTATACGCACGTTGTGAGGAGAGTAGTCTGCGCTGAACCCCACTTGGGACATTTCCATCTGGAAGTTGTCTCCTTGAACGGTCCCTGGGGGCAGCAAATTCAGACAGTTAGAATTCTGCCCACGCATTTTAAATAAAACATGTAAACACATACAAATATAATATTCTGATGTGCACCCCAAGCTTTGGAGGTGGCAGGTGCTAGGAGGGAGAAATCACCATGGAAGTGTTTAGAAAGGATGACAGAAGCCCCCACTCTTCCGTGGTGGCTTTTGGGTTGTCATTCAACCTTGATGAAGCCTCAGTGCACCACTTAGTGTGCAGCTGCAGCAGCGATCTCTTTAACAAACAACGCCTAATATGATTATTGCTAGCTAGGAGAAGTTATGTATTTTAAATTTGGGTACTAATAAATGAACGAGTGATAAAACAGTTGTCCTCAGCTGCTACCTGAAAGCCAGTGGCTGAGATTATAGCATAGGAAACCCTGTGGGAGAGCTCGATTTTGTCCTGTAGTGTGACGTTGAGTAGAAATCAAGTCAAGAGAACACAACAATAGCTAACAAATACATGAATGTCTTGAAAGCATTGTGTTGCTGAAGTTGGCAGTTCAAAACCGCCACCTGCTTCTCCAGAGAAAGACGAGGCTTTCTATTCCGCCAAAGATTTATAGTCTCAGGAACCCACAGGGCAGTTCTAGTCTGTCCAGAGGGTTACTAGGAGTGGGAAGCAACTCAGTGGCAGTGAGCTGTGTTGTTATTGTTTTTTAAGTGGAAGAACTAAGCAAGTGAGATGTAGTGAAGATCAGGGTGAGCAATATTTGTGTTAATTAATCATCAGCAATCAGAACTCAAGACCGAGCATGAATTTTACCAATTGGGAAGTTAGTTCTATTTCTACATGTATCCTGGCTTCTGTTAGTAACACTATACAATTTGATCAGTACTCATTTTGCATTCCTGGAGCTCTAGTGGTAAAGTGGGCTATGCGTTGGACTGAAAGTCCCAAGGTCTGTTGCTCAAAATCATCAGCGGCTATGAGGGAGCCAAGATGAGGCGCTCTATTCCCGTAAAGACTTCTAGTCTCAGAAGCCCACAGGGGTCATTTGACTCTGTCCTGTAGAGTCACAGTGAATCAGAATCAACTTGATGCAGTGAGCTTGGTTCTGGGTGCTCCATTCAATGTTGTCAAAGCTGTTATGTCTCACTAATTTGGGCAAACTCACTACCATCGAGTTGATGCTGACCTGTAGCAGCCCTCTCGGACAGGGTGGAAGGGTCCCCGTGGGAAGTAGAAAGTCTCATATTTCTCCCATGGAGCCACTGCTACAGTTTCAAACTGCTGATCTTGTGGTTAGCAGCCCAACGTGTAACCACTACACCACTCAGGCCCTCTAATATTGGCAAAAGGGAAGTTACATTCCAGGACTTCCACTTCTATTAATAGAAAATACAAATTTTCTATTTGCATTCTGTAGGGCATAGTCAATTGTTTAGAGTTGAAAAAAGATCATTTTAAATTCAAACAGTGCCCTCCAAAATATGTGACGATGCACTACCATCGAGTCGGTGCCGACTCATTGCATTGGACAGCCAACTGCAATGTCAGCAGTTCAAAACCACCATCTGCTCTGCAGGGGAAAGATGGAGTTTTCTACTCCCATGAAAAGTTATCATCTTGGAAACCCCAATGGGCAGTCCTAACCTATCCTGTAGCATCATTGTGATGATAACAACACACATTATTCAAATTATTTCTAGATAGCTGAAAGATTATATTCTGATTATTCTTATTTTGTGTCACCATAAAGAAGATTAACAATGCTGTATTCACCAAGGACTACAATCAGGAGCTACATTGGGAACTCGGCTGCGGCTGTGGTTGAGAGCTTGGTTTGGCCTGAACCCACCAACTCCTTCTGCTGGTGATAGATGCAGCAGTTGCTTCCACGAAGATTCCGGACTGGGAAGCCAAGGCGCCGGTTCTACTTTATCCAATAGGGTTGCTATGAGTCAAAATTGGCGGGGTGGCAATGGTTTGTTTCGGTTTGAGAACACAATGTTGAAGATGACTTAGCTAACTAAAAGCACTTGCGTGTTAGAGAGCAATGGCATTTCATGGATAGAACTTTCCAGTTGATAACCAGAAGATCAGGATTTTCAAACCATCTTTTAAAAACTTTTAAATAATTAAAAAATTATGGAATCCCCTACCTATTTAAATTATTTAATACCTATACTTTTTTGAGGTCATACTTGATACAAATTTTGTTCTTAATAAATACATGTTCTTCATTGCTGCAAGAGTATTTGAGCTGACCATCACGAATCAAAATTAGGGTTGTGTGGAAATGTTTACTAACAGGAAGAGTGTTTCAGTCCTACACAAGTGAACTCCAGAAAATGCGATTTTTTTCTGCACTGACTAGACGTGTCTAGGGCACATATGTAAATTACTGTATATCTTATACCTCAGATGTATCCTCAAAGACTGAATTCTCAAAATCTTGGCTGTATGTTTTTTTTTCTAATTTTGAAAATATAAACATGCTTGTTGTAAGCAGATTCAAGAATTTCAGAAATTATATGACGCAATATGAAATGATGAAAAAAAACCCGATTTACATTTATTATAGACATGACTAAGTTGTCCCCCTAAAAGGTGGTAGCAATTTATAATCTTATCAACAGTACACGGGCCTCTATTTTCTACACAATCTAAGAGGAAGCGTTGCTTCCACCCTTTAGGCAAAAACGCTGTATCACTTTAATTTGCATGTTTTAATGACTGCTAGGATTCTTAATGTTTTCTTATGTTTCCTAGCCATTTGCATCCTGTTCCCCATCCAATTTTCTTACTAATTCATAAGTGCTTTAAAAAAGGTTTCTTATACATAACACACAATTGAACATGAAGAAGCCAAGTATGTGGTAGAAAAATTTCTAAGTCTTGAAAAAAGTTTCCGGAAAACAAAAAAGAAAAAAGATTATTCTTACCTTCAATGCTGAAAATGTGTTCTCCTAATGTGCCCGCCTTTTCTAGGAGAGCTGCTTCATCAGACACGTTGAAAAAGTATCTTTCTGTTGGCACACTGGCAATTGCTTTAATTTCTTTGATTAAATTTTTAGTGTCAAGAGCATTTCTGTTTAAGTATCCAAGGACCTTTGGATAGATAGAGGAAGAGGGAAATAGGGTCATTACCACTGCACCAGTTTCTCTCGTTCCAAGGTTGAGTCATTTCTGAACACAGTCACCTCTTTGGGAAAGTAAACCAAGCCGTGTTTACGGATCCATCCTGATAAGCCTGAGCATTGTCAAGAAGCACAGCTAGAGCGACCACCTTCTTGACATCTAAGATGTAAAGTCGATGAGAAAGTGCAGCCTTGGAGACCAAAAGATGATTGGCCCACACATCAAAAGGCGAGTGAAAGGGAAGCCACTTACTGCTATGCCAAACCTCAGTATATTGTCATTGTTGCATTGCTCAATCACGGCTTTCAACTTGGAACCATCGTGGGATTCTCCATCCGTCACAACCACCATGACTTTCGTAGCCCACTGTCGTCCGCCAGCAGCTGCGGAATAAGCAAAATCTCTGTGGAGAGAAATCCAAAAGATACACTCAAAAGAGGAAGTGAGGATATGGACACCATTTTTGAAAGATATACAGGAAAGTGGCTTCTTTGACTCGAACCAGCTGTAACTTAGAGTTTCTCTTTATGTCACTTCTAAAGACACATCTAAGTTGGTTTTAATGGTAACTTATCAAAAAAATACAAAAGTTTGAAACTTTCATGGCATTAAAGATAATGTATATGAGTTCCACAGTGTGTATGTACACTTATGGCCAGAATATCTTGAATTATCATCTGATAAGAAAATGAAATTCATTAATACTAATCAATAGAGTAAATATATTCCTGTCACCAATTGTACTCAGTGGGCTTACAGTTATGTTTATATATGTATATAAATTTTAAAAGAATAGATAAACATAATAGATAAAAATCAAAGAGTTTGAAAAGAAAAACTCTTTGGTAGTTTCTTAGAAAACTAAGCATAATCTTTCCATTTGATACAGAAATTATGCTTTTTGGTTTCTTCTGAAATGAGTGGAACATATACGACCACATAAAAATCAGCCAAGAAATGTCATAATTCCTTCAAATTCGAAGCAACCAAGATGTACCTCAACAGGAGAAAGGATAGACATTCTTTGGTGCATCCATACAATGGAATGTGATTTGATGATGAAAAGCGTATTGTCATAAAAATACATGGAGGAAGCTTACATGCTTATTAACAGGCAGAAAAAAAACTACACACACACCTGAAAAACTACATGTACTATATTATTACAACCATAGGAAATCCTACAAAATTCAAAATCATAGACTGGAAAGAACAGAGATTGTCATGAGTTCAAGTGGGTGGCAGGGGAGGGAAGAATAGGTGGAGCACAGAAGATTTTTAAGATGGTGCAATATTCTGTATGCATTGCCATTAAGCATTTGTCCAAGTTCATTGAGCCGTCCAACAGGAACAGTGGATTCCAATGTAAACTATGGACTACGAGGTTGCGGTTAGGTTCTGCAAAGTTGGTTCCTACTCATAGCAACCCGATGTAGTAGGAGACATTGCCTAGACTTCATAAGCACTGTTGTGCTTGAGGTCATTGTCACAGCCATTCTGTCAATCCATCTTGATGTGAGTCTTCTGCACTGACCCTCTCATTAACCAGGGACTGATCTCTCCCCTTGAAGTGCCCAAAGCAAGTCATGCCCTCCACCCTTTGAAGGAGCATTGTGGCTGTACTTCTTCAAGACACATTTGAAAATTTTTCTGAAAGTCCACGGTATACTCAGTATTCTTCACCAATATCACAATTCAGATATATAAATCCTTCTTCAGTCTTCTGTAGTCATTGTGCAGCCTTCAAGTGCATAGGAGGCAATATCTAAAACTGATCACATGGCTTTCCCCCTAAAATATTCCCTATCTTCCTTATTGTAGAACGTAGAAATATAGAGGATGATCCACATTAACCAGGAAGGCAAATCTGAACTACAGTAGCTAAATCAATTGTTTTTGAGTGAAGTATATATATATATACACACACACATACATATACATATGTATATACATATGTATATACATATGTATATGTGTATATATATGTGTATATATATATGTATATATATAAATCATTTTATTAGGGGCTCATACAACTCTTATCACAATCCATACATACATCAATTGTGCAAAACGCATTTGTACATTCATTGCCCTCATCATTCTCAAGACATTTCCTTTCCACTTAAGCCCCTGGCATTAGGTCCTCATTTTTCCCCTTCCTCCCTACTCCCCACTCCCTATGAGCCCTTGATAATTTATAAATGATTATTTTGTCATATCTTGCCCTGTCCGACGTCTCCCTGAGTGAAGTATATTTTATGATGTACCTTCGATCTCCAAATGATAGCAACCTTTTGAGGACAGAAATTAGGCCTCATTTAGTTTTCATTACCTGTGGTGCTTAGAAGACTAAATGGCAGGCACTCTGTGAACAAAAGGTGAATGGGGAACATGGTAATACTTTCGAAAGAGAGTCTAATTCTTAAATTAGATGTTGTCTATAAACAGACCAAAGCTATAGAGGGAACTAAGTGCTGGGGTGTGTGAAAAAGTTTATTGATTCCCTGGTAATTGTTCCCCCCAAAAAGAAAATAATATTACAGGAGGGAAACTCAGTTTTAAAAAAGTGACTATTGTGTGTGTCCACGATGTCTATTCCAACTCATAGTGACCCTAGAGCAGCGGGTCTCAACCTGTGGGGCGCGACCCCTTTGGGGGTCGAACGACCCTTTCACAGGGGTCTCTTAAGACCATGGAAAACACATTACAATTTACATTATGATTCATAACAGTAGCAAAATTACAGTTATGGAGTAGCAATGAAATCATTTTATGGTTGGGGGTCACCACAACATGAGGAACTGTTAAGGGTCGCGGCATGAGGAAGGTTGAGAACCACTGCCCTAGAGGAAGGAGTAGGACTGGCCCATAGGGTTCCTTAGCCTGATCTTTAAGGAAGCAGATTGTCCGGTTTTGTTTAGGTTTTTTGTTTCTCTCGCATGGAGTGGCTGGTGGGTTCAAACTACGTACCTTTGATTAGCAACCTAGTTCATAAGCATTATGGTATGAGAAAAAAGAAAAGAAAACAAAACAAAACAATCAAACTCCCTGTCATCGAGTCCATGCTGACTCATAGCAACCCTACAAGACAGGGTAGAACTGCCCCTGTGAGTTTCCGAGACGGTCACTCTATGGGAGTAGAAAGGCCTGTCCGTCTCCCACGGAGCGACTGGTGCTTCCAACCCGCTCCCTTAGCCCTGATGCCCCCGGACTCCATTAGTGTTACCAGAGCTCCTCTACAAGACGGTTCCGTTCTAGAAATCCCCCCTCGACAGTGGCCATTCTCCTGGAAAAGAAAGTTTACAGGCTCTCAGGCTCCTTTCAGGGCAAAACGCCACATCCATCGTCTCTGCTGAGAAAGGGGCCCTCCGACGTGCCTCCCTCCGGGGCAGCCGTTCTCTGTGGACACAGCCTCTTCCCCTGAGTCCAGTTTCCGGGATCAGGAAGGGCACTTCATCTAACGGCCATGAAGTTACTGACTTGAAACAAGCACAAACAAATCATCCTCATCTCCTTTGATTAATCTGCTACTCAAACAGGCAGGGAGAATCATGAGTTAGTAGTATAAGAGGCAAATAAAATATATCAATAACTCAACTCCCTAACAGAAGAAAGAAGGGTGGATATAAGAGGAATGACAAAAATAGAAATGACAGGATGTGGTGACTAGCCAGATGTGTGCTCTAAGGAAGGCGTGGAAAAAATGAAGAAAGCTATCCAGTCTTGAGTCTGGATGACTGACGTAGCAGAGGGTAACATGAATTAAAACACTGTTTTAAAAAGGCATTCGCTATCAGCTGGGTACTTGTGTAGATTTGGGAAGGACATTCAGGCTGCCAACAGAGCTATGGGGTAAGGCACACAGGAGAGGTAGTTAACGGCAGGACAGTTGATCTAATTCCTATGAGAGAAAGAGTACCAAAAAAAAAAGAGTAATAAGACTGATGTTTGAGAAATGCAGAGGCAACACTTGTTGACCAAACGTTGACAGGCATCGCAGAAGTCTGCTGTGACGTGGCAGCAGTGTCGGCTAGTGTGGTCATCCCAGTCACGTATCCAGACGCACTGTAAGGGACGCGTCGTCAGTCAGGATCTTAGGGGTGTGGGCTGAAGAGGACCGTGCTTTACGGAAGTGAAGAGGGTAAAGGTACTTTCTCACCGTATCATGGTTGTGGAACAAATTGACAACAAGGTGAAAAAAGCAAGGGCAAGCAAAGGTGAGCGGTTTGTGCCTTTTCTTAAACAATAGGAAAGTGATTCATATTTTTCAAAGGTAACTGGTTAAAGTAGCATGAAGATGAAGGTCAGTGGAGTTGAGAACATAGAGAAACTGGGAAACAAGTCACACGAGGACTAGCTCACACTCCCTAAAGATCATACTGCGTTTAATAAAGCCATTCAATCCCACTCAGGCTCGTAGTGCTGGGGTCCTATAGTCTTCGCAGTGTGTAAGGAAGGGCTCCATTAGTTCATGTTGGCCGGCATGATCGATACTAAGATGTAACTTTAGATGTTTCTTTTCCCCCCACAGTGTTAACTCCATTTATTCATATGAAATTTTAGATAAATCATGTAATACCTTAAAATACCATAGAGATTACCGATTTTTTATTTACATTTTCAAAATCTCTTCTTAAAGTGTTCACATTATATAATGCTTTAACTTTCTTTATTTGTTTTGATTTAATATCTCAGACCCATTTTCTTTGCCCTGACTCTCCTTTTACTGACATACAAGCACTTCCCTCCTATTACACTTTTATTCCATTAACACCACCACTCACCTCGCATATTGAATGGCCTTGAATGTGTTCGTGAGATCCCCACCATGTTGGTATGTGCGGGATGTTGCTTCAATCAATTCCGCCTTGGTTTTATAAGTATTTAAGTTAAACACAACTCTTGGATTATTGCCATATTGAATTAGCCCCACCTTGAAAAGAGCAGAAAGTTAGTATTGGGATGTCACTGAATTATAAATAATTTCTACATAATCAAAGCAATCAGAACCAAGTGTGATCTGCTAGCTTCAGAGAATCATTTTCAATTTTGCCCTTAAAAGTAGTTACGTTTTTCCCATAAAGCTCTGTGGAGCCGTTTCTTCTTCTTAGAGGCCATTAACTAGTATTATCATTAAGCAAGACCATTTCCAGGGCTTACACTTTGGTCCTTGAGATGAATAATTACAGAGTAGAACGGTCCTATTATATTTTAATATAAATGGATACTAGAACAAGGCTCATAATAGGAGGGTTAAAATGATATAAGTAAATGTTCTAATTATATATGAATATAAACCTACAAACAATTATAAAGTCATAGACAATGAGGGTAATTACATAATAAACATGAAATGGTAGATCCAATCAGAAAGGGTAGGAAACAAAAACCAAAAATATTGTAATAGGTGATATTTAGTCGTCTTGTAGAAGCATGTAGCTTTGCTCCTAAGTTGTGGTTGCCTACCTCAAGAAGATATAAAAGCACGTTAAAGACTTGTTAAAATATAGGGAGTCATAGAAATACTTGAAAAGACTTGTCCTGTGAAGTGGAGAGAAGTATTTGCAACAGAATAGGATGAAAGACTATAAAGTAATAAATGGTAAAGTTGTAACGTCTTTAGACATGTTTATGCATTTCTCAGAAATTATCGAGGATTTTTATTCCACCAGCATGGTATAAGCAAAAAGAATACTCTATTAGTTCAGGTGGACATCAAGAAAATATTGAATTTTACAACAGAGAGATAATGTCGTGGGTGAAGGTGGAAAAACAGCAACTAAAAGAAAGAGTCCCCAAACTCCTGAATCTGCTGCCAGACACAGAAATCCAAGTTCAACAGAGCAGCCCTGGGCAAGGTCATACGCAGATGATCATATCGTAGCACAATTTCCAATTAATGTTCAAGTTTACTGTCAACCTAATTCATATTAGGATGGAACACATGTAAAATTTAAGACTTCATATGTAACAATAATTCCTCAAAACGGAATTTGTAGCGCAGTGTATATGTTACTGATTTTATTACCTGAATCTTTTTAGGGCCAATATCTAGACCTTGTACAAATTTTTCCAGAAAATTCTTCACTGCGTCCCATGGGTAAATACTATTTGATTCATCACATACAACCACAACATCTATAAGGGAAGGGCAGGCTGCAAAGGAAAAGTTGAAAGAAATAGATTTCCATAGGTAAATAAAACTTCAAAGTAAACTAAACTAATTGCCAGAGTCAATTCCACATCAGGGGGACCCCTTTGTCTCAGAGTATAAGTGTACGATTTTCAGGCACCCCTGGCTGTATGCTTCAACCTGTGCACCACCCAGGGATTCCGAATCAAATGTTATGGCCATATAAAATTGAAACTTCAAGTAAAATGTAGCTGGGGGTTTGGGTGGCACTTGTTGATCATTTTCTCCCCTCCTTTGGTGGCATGGTGATTACGCATTGGGGATTTAATATGCAAAGTCAGCTGTTTAAAACCACCAAAAAGAGTTATGGTCTCAGAAACCCAGAGGGGCAGTTCTACCCTGTCCTGTAACGTCGACAGGAGCTGGATCGACTCAGTGGCAGTGAGCGTCTCTGTTGCTTTAACTCTACGAAAGGATCCATCCCTCTGAGTGTGCATTACTTACTCTGAACGGCAGGTGAAAAGCTGGCCAAGTGCTGAAAATTGGGACTGAACTCCGAACAAACACCGGTTGTGTAATACTGATTTCCACACTGCTGTGCCCACAGGGGACCACACGTCTTAAAACAAAATGAAACGAAAGCCATGAGAACAATGAAAACACAATGACCTTGCTGGAGCGCTACTTCTCTGTTTGTGAAACTCGGAAATCATTCCTGTTCTTTAATAAGATGTCCAACATTGTCAACTTCTGAATCCACAATTTAAAAATGCCTTTGACTGAATGTGCATGGAGCAGGCAGACACAGGTTGTGGGTCAGGGCGCTGGCAGAAGTGCGGTGTCCAATGACCTTGGATGAATGGCCGCAGAACTGTCAGGGCAGATGTCAACATTGGGAGGAGACCACCCATCAACCCTAGAGAAAAAGGGCATTTCCTTCCTGGATAGCACCCAAGAGAAAAACAAGAACAGGTTCGTTTTGTGTGTGTGTGGCTCAGTTACCTGGGCCTCGAGTACCTCGGCAGAAAAATGAGTCCAATCCTACCAGGATTTCAAACAGTTCATGGAAAAAGGAATTGTAAGATCATGGAAACTTGTTGAAGCCTCGTCATATTTCCTACCTTTTAAGGTTGTTGTGAGGCGTACATGGGTCCCTAGATATGAAATACTGAACAGTGCCAAGTAGATACTACTGAAACCAAACCAATCACAGTGGTTGGATAGATGTTTTGTTAGTAGCAACCCTACCCGAAAGGTAGGATTTCCTTGGCTGTCAACCTTTACAAAAGCAGATGGTCACATCTTTCTTTCAAGGAGCAGGTGGTAGATTTGAATCACTGATATTCTAGATAGTTGCTGAGCACTTATTACAGAATCCATAGCATTCCTTGCATAAACAATAAGTGCTATCTAATTGTCAATCTAGTATCACTAGCAGAGCTGTGGTTGACTGTTACATTCCTGCTGTGCCCGCCACTCATGCTTTAGGAGAACCCATGAATCCAAGCAGCTGCATGGACTGCTGAGGGGAACCAAAAAGATGCTCTGGGCCAGGTAGAGACAGCATGATGAACTGAAGAATCCAGGCCTTCTATACAGAGCAGGCCACTATGGCTCCTGCCCACCCACCAGGGTTAAATAAGCCCTGTGTTCCTGAGTCTGCCAAGTTTTCAAGAATATTCAGTGAGATAAATTTTTTTCTTGTTCTTTTTTTTGTTTTGTTTTTCCAGTGAGATAAAATTTGAGAATTCAAAATTCAATGCAAACAAATGACCGAAACCCCACAAACAATATTCCATTGGTTAAATGAACACAGATGAGGTTCGTGGACTGTCAGTTTCCAACTTTGCTATACAACGCCCCACCACAGAGTTGATTCTAATCATAGTGACCCCATAGGACAGCATAGAATTGCCCCCGTGGGTTTCTGAGACTGTAACTCTCTGTGGGAGTAGAATTTCTTTATTTTGAGGACTTCCAACCAGTAAAAAAAAGGAAAAAGCCCTAGATTCTGATTTATACCATCTATGTCATGTAGGCCAAGGTAAAAGTGCTCCCTATGGTTTTAGTTTTTGGAGGCGGCACTTTTAGGAGTTGATCACCAGGCCTTTGGGCCGAGGTGCCTATGAGTGGACTGTATCCTTGAACCTTTCAGCTGAGTTCATTCCTCATTTGCGTTACCCAGGGCTTCCTTCCTTGAGAACATCAAAGCCCTCTTATGTCCACTCCCTAAAACAGGGAGTCCTCGAAGCTGGCTGCCACTTTCTCCCTTACAAAGAGTCATGAGAGCTCCAATTCATAATGTCTCCATTAGCCCAATGCCAGTTCTCTCCAGTAAGCAGCACTTGAATACCAGGAACTGCTAACTAAATGACAATGAAATCCATGCAAACTGTGGTCAACAGTGGAGCAAAGAATGGCAAAACTACTAGATATGAAAGAAGTGAAATTAGAAAGAGAAGTCTAGTCAAGATCCTTCCAAAGTGCACCCCAAGTCCACATCGAGTAAAGCTGCAGAGCAGTTACAGAAGGGACTTTGTAAGGGGAACTGGATGCAGCTGTCCTCCTATCTCACGCTCACTGCGTAAGGCATCATTTTTCTTCCAATAAAACTAGTTTATTTGGCCAGTTAGGGGAAATCATGGCGGATGGCAGTGGACAGCTTATAAAATAACAAGTTCCAATTTTTGATTGCCACGCCCCCCCTAAATTGTTTACTGTAGCACTTCATCTTTTTCATTATCTTTAAAAGTAATAGGTCAGAAAGTTATTTTTTTTTAGCAATGAAAGCAGCATTAGAAAGTTGAAATAAGGAGATGCCAATAGTTAATGCCAGAACTACATTCCTGTTTTAAGCCCAGAATTTCAGAAAGTTAAAAAAAATGTGATGATTCTCTGTCTTTTCCACATCATTCTTTGGCCTTCTTGGGATGGGTGGGCAGCACTTGGTTGATTTTATTTCTTTCTTCTTTCTTTTGCTCCTCTCTTACCCCACTCTTTTGTCAGCTATATTGATTGAAAAATTCTTCTCTCAAAAATCTTGCAATTGTATTTTACTTTATCTGGAGTTACAGATTAAAAACTTTAAAGCATATTCCATAATCCCCAAATCTCAATGGGTTCCTTTCTCTGAATTTATTCACATCCAAAACCAAACAAACAAGCAAATAAAAGTAACCCTATGAGGCTTCGAAGAGATCAGGTATCCGGCATCAAAAAACAAAAAAATCACATCATTGTAAATGAGCGGGAGTGCAGAGTGGAGAACCAAAGCCCATCTGTAGGCAACTGGACACCCCATTAAAGGGTTGCAGGGAGGAGATGAGCCAGTCAGCATACAGTGTAGCAACAATGAAACATACATTTTTCCTCTAATTTTTAAATGCTTTTCCCCCAAACCCCAATATCATGATTCCAGTTCTACCTTACAAATCTGGCTAGACCAGAGGATGTACATTGGTACAGATAGGCACTGGAAAGACGGGGAATCCAGGACAGATGATCCCTTCAGGACCAGTGGTGAGAGTGGCGATACAAGAGGGTGAAGAGAAGGTGGGGTAGAAAGGGGGAACTGATTATAAGGATCTACATATAATCTCCTCCCTGGGGGGTAGACAACAGAAAGTGGGTGAAGGGAGACGTTGGACAGTGTAAGACATGACAAAATAATAATTTATAAACTATCAAGGGATTATGAGGGAGGGGGCACGGGGAGGGAGGTGGGGGGTGATGAGGAGCTGATACCAAGGGTTTAAATAGAGAGCAAATATTTTGAGAACGATGAAGGCAATGAATGTACAAAGTTGCTTGACACAATTGATGTATGTATAGACTGTGATAAGAGTTGTATGATCCCCCAATAAGATGATTGAAAAAATAAGAAAAAGAAAAAAAAAAGTAACCCTATTAATCAAGACTTTGGAAGATAATAAACTATGAAAATGCATTGCAATATTCATTTAAGCACAGAATTAACATGAAAAGCTATACCTAATTTATTTATTGAAAGCCAAGTTGTCTAAACACTACAATCTCATAGTAAAATGAAATGGCATTGTTCAAAATTGTATACATTTTTATAACAATCTAGTTATACACATACATTTAAATGCAGATAGTCAATATTACAGAAAAATCTAATGCAAAGCTAATTCAGCTTTTGAAAACTATTGTAACTGTTTCACATAACTAAAAGCAATATCAAAGGCACCACCACAGAGTCGATTCTAACTCAGGAGACCCCTACCGGACAGAATATAACTGCCCTTGCAGGTTGCTGAGACTGTAAAGCTCTCCAGGAGGAGAAAGCCTCATCTTTCTCCTACAGCGTGGCTGGTGGTTTCAAACTGCTGACCTTCTGGTTAGTCGCTCACTTGTAACTCATTAGGCCAGCAGGGCTCCTGGGCTAAAGTACATTTATTTATTTACTAAAACACATTTAAATGATCTCATGGGAATCTGGAATCATTTGAAGTGTTTGTTTGCCTTTAAGGTTTTGTTTGTTTTTTTCTTGGTGCACAACATTTTTATTGCCATTTTTATATAGTAAATTT